TGACAAATGTCTAATTTACACAAAAAAAAAAAAAAAAAAAACCACCAACAAACCACACACAACAAACCATCTTCTCCCTTGACTATCGCCACATCAATATTTACCTTACGGAAACCACTACCTAGAGGTGCCCATCCGAGTGGAACTCTTTCCTGACCCTCCTCAGGTATAAGAACATATGCTTTCCCAAACAAATCAAGTGGTTCGAAGCTGCTGTGGATTCATAGGGAGGGAGATGGTTGTGTTGGGGAGAAGCTACTACGATAGGCGGAGGGAGGGAGAGAAGATACAGATTCAAAGAAGAAGAATCATATTCCTCAATGTTATTCATAAAGCTTATGAGCAAAAGAAGAACATGGGTTTGCCTATTTGCAACAGTTTACACAGTTTTACAATACCTTTCTTGGAATTTTTTAAAATATGTACATTCTTGGTATGAATCGACCATGGTAAGGTCAAGTGCATCTGGGTGGACAGTTTTAAGTGTATCGGTGGTTTTAGGGGTGGCGTTTGGGGTTCTGTCGATGATGGCCGCTTGGTTGTAGCGGTGCCGGCAACTCTAGTGACGTGGACTGTGGTCGTGCTTTTGACTTTTTGTAGAAAACTCAGAAGAGATTTGGTGCTGGAGGGCATGAAATTGACAGGTGAGAAGACACGGAGAGAAAGGAAGATGGCTTCTGGGTTTGGGAATTAAATTAATTGGGAGGGGGGGGGGTTTGAATCAAGGTCTGGGGTTTAAAATATGATAGACTGAGTGGGCGTAATTAATTTGTTTTAATTAATTTAAAAATTAGTATTTGCCACCTGATTATTGAAATTCAATCTTTCAGCCACCTACTTTTGAAATGTAATATTGAAAAGAAGGTTTCTAGGTAATTTTCCCTTAAAAAAATTGTGTGACGTTTTGTTTAAATGAATCTATCTTTTAATAACGTACATTGTTCAGCTAAATTAGTACTTGACACCGGTTGTGCCGAATAAAATTACTTGTCAATTTTTGATCTAAAATTGAGTCAGAGACGGAAAATGCCGCATAAAAAGTAAATCAAGTTTTGTAAACCTTCCATTACATAAGTATCACCTTTTATGGAAGAGTAGGATAGTAAGAGTAACCCTTCAAATTGTTACTCGAGAAGTAAACTAATTCTTCCCACCCCACCCACCCCACCATACTCCCTCTAGATCTCTCTCTTTTAAATTTTTAATTCAAGGGATTTCAAACTTGAAAGTATCAAGATTTTTGCCTCATTTGACAGGAGATAAGGTGGAATTTGTAAAATTTCTCCCTTTTTGAGTGAAAATAAACACGATTTTGGAGTTATAAATCTACAATTCATTAGAAATCGGATACCAATTGTCGAGAATTTCTTGCAAACAAAATTAGGAAAACATTTTCTCATTGAATCAAAAATTGAACTGGCTATATATAGCCTTACAAGGATAACAGGAAGATAGAAATGCATTCCACATTTTACATACCTATATATTGATGTGGTACGAAACAAACAACTTATTCCTAAAGAGTTACAACAAATCCTAAAAACTCGATTAAACACTAACAACTGATAATTTCAACAGTAAAAGGTTAGTTAGTTGTCTTGTACCACTTCTACATGGCTTGGTATTGTTGAATCCGGCACTCTTAGCTCACGATCCACATGGCCCCTTGCATGTTAGCCATTTGCTTTCCTTTTTCGGGGACAAGCCAGCGTGGCATGGCATCAGGGACGTAGTCAGGATTTCAATCTTGTGGGGGCAAAAATACGGGGGGTGGAGGGGGGCCCGGGGGGTTGGCCCCAGAATTTTTTTTTTTTAACTGAGAGGATTGAAAACGACGATTTTGAGTACCAAAATAGGCAAGTTAGATTGACGGACCAAAAAGACAATCAATTTGTCGATACAAAAATAATATGTCCATCTATGTGTCTAACGCTATACAATTGAAAACATGAACGTTAGATAGACATAAAAAAGACAACAAGTAAACTGTGTATCTATATAACAGATGGTAGATATGCTTGGACATCTGAAATTAGTCTCTTATTGTCATCATCACTTCAAACTCGTCAATAAGAGAATCTAATGAAAAGTATCAACAATCTCCTTCTNGCTTTTGGGTACTTGATTCATAAATAGGTCCTTTGCTTTTGGATTGGATTTGGACTATTTATTTATTTAAGTAATTATTGAATCTTTTGTTTAGGTCTAAGATTTATGTATGGTTGAATTTTAAAGTGTAAGTTATTTGGTCAATATTTATTAATGGAAAAAAATTTTCAAAATTTTCCGAGGGGCGAAACTGAAAAATACATTACAAATTAACTAGAAATAATGGACCAACGGATAATGTTGAGGGGCGGTCTCCCCCCGCCCCCCATCTTCGTCTCTGCATGGCATGGCTCCTCAAAAATTGCAAACTTCATTAGGTACACGTTGAAATACATACATTTTTACATTGGACTTTCATTATCAGGACCGCGAAATACACCTTTTTTTGTTAGAAATCTTGAGTTTACTTCTACTACTTTTTTATTCACTGAATACTGACTTTCTTTTTTCTAGTCTTACCAAAACACCATCCAAACAAACACTTTACCCTTTTCCTAACATCTCTCCCCACCCCTTAAAAGTCAGAAAATGACGTTTTTACATAATTTTATTAACAATATCATTAATTTTTTCCTCGCGTGAGATGCCCGAACTATATGACATGCGTTAGACTTGAGTTGAAGTCCAAGGCCGCCTCCTGGATCCTTCCCGGACATGGGAGTTGAAACTTGATAAAATATTGTGGATGAGCTAGTGTCATGGAGTGTAACATAGTGATTTCATCTGACTATATATGTTTCCAGGGCATGCTTGATACATTCAAAAATATTTCATGAAGGAAGACGATTATCAAGATTTATTGATTTATGTTTCTCGTTTATTTAGTTCAATGTACTAAATATGTTATTAAATGAGGTTCGTATTAACATGCTTGAAGCAACATAAACTAGCTAGGACTATTACAACAATATAGTCTCAAATTTAATAAAAGATACTTAGCCCCTGTTTGAGCCCCATTTTTCTCGAAACACATTTTTGAAAACTCATTTTCAATCACATTCTGCCTTAAATAATTTTCATGTAAATTAAATTTTTTTTATTTTTTAACCATACATTCTCTAAAAATCACTATTTCAAAAAATATTTTTCCTAAAAATTAGGGCTAAAACATGGGCTTAGTCTGTTTGATTTAGTTAATAAATAAATCAGATTTTCAATAAATTTTGATAAAAGTTAATTAAGTGCTTGTTTGATAGGAATTTTTGGGGGAAGAATTGATTTTTGAATAGTGATATGATGGGAAATGTGTGGTTGAAAAAGAAGAAAAAATTATTGATGTGATGAAAAATATTATTTTACTGAAGAATGTGTGGTTGAAAATGAATGATAGGAATTTTTGGGGGAAGAATTGATTTTTGAATAGTGATATGGTGGGAAATGTGTGGTTGAAAAAGAAGAAAAAATTATTGATGTGATGAAAAATATTATTTTATTGAAGAATGTGTGGTTGAAAATGACGATTGATTTACTGTAGAATTTGTAAATAAAAAACAAACAAGCCATAAATGTGTGAGTGAAAATAAATTTGAGAAATAATGAATTTTAGAAAATAGGAACGAAGTAGGGGCTTAATATTATGAGGTTGTAACTTGCAAGCCATCAAAAACCAAACCAACACATGTTAAGCAATTCCTCCTACCGTTTGACACCCATTTTTTTATCTCATTCTCATTCTCATTTTTCAACGGTACTCATTTTTAACCACACATTCTCCAAATAAAATAATATTACACATAAACCCAAAAATTCTTCTTACTTTTTAACCACACATTCTTTATATCAATCACTATTCAAAAACTCATTTTTCAAAAGAATGGGTGACAAATAAAATAATATTACACATAAATCCAAAAATTCTTCTTACTTTTTAACCACACATTATTTACATCAATCACTATTCAAAAACTCATTTTTCAAAAGAATGGGTGCCAAACAGAACAAAAAAAAAGTGATAAACTTGACAAGCATATAGTTTTCAAAATTCTGAACTTACACAATCCTCAAGAATTTATGAAATTTTATATGGTCTAATCCATTGCTTATTTTAAGTAGCCATACCCATATATAAATTATGATTTCTCCTTCATTGAAACTAAAAGACACACATTCACACATAAGAATAAGCTAAAAATCAATATCAATACATACATGACAGCCTTCCAACAATCCTTTTGCTATCTTCAAGACATTAACCAAGGCGGTTGAACTCGATAATGAAACGCTCATCGCGACTAACGCGAGCACTCCTAATGCCACGCTCGGCCTCGTATTCATCAGATACGTTTGCAACAAGGCCATGGCTTCACAAACGTCCTGGTGATAACGCGTAAAAATCCTCTTCTCCCATTCCATCCAATCAGAAGAAGGGTTTTGGCTAGTTCTACTGCTCTCTAACACCTTCATTTTCTTGATGTGCAGTCTTAGAACAGACATATTTTCATCAACAGGTGATGATGATTTTCCCTCATTATCATCTTTTTTTGTAGCAACTACAACTTTTGTTATGATCCCATGTCTTAGGTTGTAAGAGGGTTTCTTTACAAATGGCCTATGGGGTAATCTAGGACAAGACAGCAAAGTAGCCTCCATTGTTGAGGACAACGAGAGATTATAGAGCAAAAGAAGCTGGGCCAAACAGGGAACTATTAGATTTTAACAAGAGGGCTAGAGAGTGGGAGGGAGAGGTTAGGCATGCAAATATGTAGACACAAAGTGGAGGGTAGAATTTGTTTCTTGGACACAAAGAGAAGTGTGGGACACATGGCAAACGTAAGCACGAGCCACGTGGAATTGCATTCTGTTAGTAATTTCTTCTAGAAAGATGGGATTGAAAGAGTGAAGTATAATTAGGATCAACTTTTTCTTGAAGTAGCTTTGAAGGAACTTCTGCATAGTTGCTAAGGTTGAAAAATGGAAACCCTCAATGTGCAGCAAGGAATTTGCGTGATGCAGTCGAATGGTTAAAACTAGAAGCAAATAATTATTTGGGGTGTATTCATGTTAAAGTGAGTTTATAAAGAATTGTCTGAGAGTTTCTCAATAATGATTGTATTGATGCTCAGAATATCGATTACAAACAACAATGATTGATAGCCCTTGTCTTAAAAATCGGTATACTTTTTGAATCTTTTTGGCTCGCACTAAGGCTTTCGTAGATGAAAAATGAATCATGTCCATATGCGAGAGGACGTATTAAAAGATAATATATACACGTGACATCTAACAAGTTAAACTTTTAGATCAAATAATTCAACGGGTAACTTACGACTTTTCAAACCGAATAAAATTGGAGAGTCAATAACGTAAGTAACAAATTATTGTCTTTCCATTCTTGAGAAAGAGTATCGTACTAGCACGGTGAGTTAGAAGTTAACACACCATCCCTGAATTGGCAATGGAGTGAACAGAGAAATGGGATAGACAATGTCACACTGGAATGGCTAGTCTCCGAACGACGCCATTCCACCTAACGTGGTAGATCCCTTGAAGTAAGCCATATTGTTCACCAGAAATTACGCGTTAAAGTTTTAATTATTTCTAATTAATTAGAATAATGCAACTGAAACTGGGATTGCAAACAGGACAGGACAGGTGCTGCATTGGCAGCATCTGCGTGGTTAATTTTTTTTTTTCAAACTATCCAATAATATTGTGCCACATGTTCCCTTTTCTAATCTCTGTCACCGAGTCTGTTTGTATAGCATGATTGAGTTGATAATTGTTTAGATTTTTTACTTAGAATAGAGATTTTTTACTAAGAATCCTGTAATTTAAGGATAATCCCTTGAGTTAAGGATAATTATTTTCCTGATTTTACTAGGTTTATACTCTATAAATTGTAATCTTCGTGTTCAATGGAATATACTAAAATACCTTTTACAATATGGTATCGGAGCCGCCCACTATTGAAACTTGGAAAGAAAAACATAGTTCGAATTTCTGAAACATTATTAAAAAAAAAAATCTTGTCTTCGAATCTTCCGTGCCCATATTCCCATCAAAATTTCTGCAAATTCACTGTGTCCGTGAAGAATTTGGTGCCCATACCAATCTATTTCCTATTCCTTTGTCCATTTAATTTATTTACCAGTCTAGTCATTGGCCATATAGAAGAAGCCAATCCAGAAACACCATTTTCACATTTATCACTTTTATATTATACCACACACCAAGTTATTGTCACTGTTATTATTCAAAATGAGTGAAGAGAATATTGGATCACCTGTTGTAGGTCAATATGAAACTATTTTCAATGTAGGCATCATTTTAACTAAATCAAATTATGATATTTGGTCCCAACTGATGGAGATGCATATTGCTTAAAGGGGAAGATTGTCCTATATTCGTGATAAAAAGAAAGTCCCCGCAAAAACGGATGATGGATATGAAAAATGGCATGCTGAAAATCAGACAGTTAAGAGGAAATTTGGAGTGTTCTGTCGAAGTGTTAGATAATTGCCTCTAAAGTCAAAGTTGGAGGATTTCTACTGCAAATAATAAAAGGTAATTATTTATCCTATAAATAGTGTATGTATTCCATTATTTTAGGGTGTGCCCTATGTGAAAGAAATTAGAGAGCCAGCAACCAAGATTTCGGCCAAAAAGAAGAGAAGAAATAGGGTTGCCACTGCTGAGAATAAACACGCACACACACACACACACACATATCAAAGACACGCCCAACAAAGAGGAAAAATGAGATTTGGCTGCTAAATTTTTTTCTGTAATACTTTGGGATTTAGTTGGTGAGCGAAATTTTATATGATTATAATAAATTTTCACATAGTGAAAAGTTTTGACAGTCCGTTTAATTTGTACCTTATATTCTTTATTTTCTTTGTTTGCTAATACACTCTTGAACAACAAAAGATCATGCGGGCAAGTTGAAATAAAGGGAATTGACAAAAATTTTCCTAACAAATGGTATTAAAGCGTCAGGTGGTTCGGAGTATTAGAGCAACAGAAAAATATGTCTTTGAAACAGACGTGGAGAAATTTGACGGGAGAATCAATTTTAGCTTATGTCAAGTATAAGTCAGGGATTTATTGATTCATGCTGGACTGCCAAGGCTTTAAAAGGAAAACCAACACAGAGTTCTGACAAGGAAGCTAAATCCAGTATGAGCGATGAGGATTGCGAGGAATTGAATTTGAAGGCTGCAAGCACTATACGTCTCTATCTGGCTAAAAAAATGTTCTTGCAAATATTCATGGGATGTCTATTGCAAAGGAAGTATGTGAGAAGTTAGAAAAACTATATAAAATGAAGAGCCTCTCAAATCGGTTGTACCTAAAGGAACAATTTCATTTATTGCGCATGGAGGCATGTACGAAAATCTCAAACCATCTGAGTGCTCTCAACTAAATTGTTTCAGAATTGGAGGCTATTGGAGTGAAGATAGATATGAGGATAAGGCACTACGTGTTATCTGGTCTCTTCCGTCTACCTATGAGAACATCAAGCCAATCTTGATGTATGGGAAGGAAACTGTGAGTTTCTTAGAAGTGACAAGAGATTGTTTCAGAACTGGAAGCTATTAGAGTGGAGATAGATGATGAGGATAAGGCATTACGTCTCATCTGGTCTCTTCCGTCTACCTATGAACACATCAAGCCGCTCTTGATGTATGGGAAGGAAACTGTGAATTTCGCAGAAATGATAAGCAAATTGATCTCAAAAGAAAGAAGATTAGGGGGATAGAATATTCCTTCTGACAATGCGCTACTTGTGACTGAAAAGGGGAAGAGGGGCAACTCCATGAGGAAGAAAACAACTTGTTGGAACTATGATCAGACAAGTCACGTAAAGAGAAATTGTCCAAAAAGTAGAGCAGGGTTGGCTAACTGCTTGGGGTCAGACAATGAGTCTCTCCTGACGGAGGAGTACGTGCTTGTGGTGCTGTAAAGTAAGATGTGAACATCCTAATGGCATGTCGCTAATTGCCATGATAGATGATGTGTTCTTGCTGGCACGGGTCAGCAGATCTGCACATAGCATTGGCTAACATTTAATGCAAGGTGTGTAGGTATGTAGTGGTGTTGTACTGTCGATGACTGATGTACTCTATGGGAAAGTCAGTAGGAAAGTTGCACAATAACTATCAGCGGGGTTGTTTCGACATGTAACCGATTAAATGCTCAGAGTTTGTGGATAATTCTGAGTGGTTATACTCATATGGTGGAGTATGGGACCGTTAAAATATACTCCACCATAATTATCCATAGGGTTGTTTTGACATGTAGCCGATGAAATGCTCAGAGTTTGCGAATATTTCTGAGTGGTTATACTCATATGGTGGAGTATGGGACCGTTAAAGTGTGTCAAAGGCTTACGTGTTTTTCTAAGGTATTGTGATTAAAAGTTGTAGAAGATGTGACAAGATTTTGACTCGTTTTCGGCAAGATGATGATTGTTAGGTAATTATCTCAAAAGTCAAAGTTGGAGGACTTCTACTACAAATAATAAAAGGTAATTATTGATCCTATAAATAATGGATGTATTCCATTATTTTAGGGTGTGACCTGTGAGAGCAAAAAAAAAAAAAGACAAAGAAAATAGGCGGCTGGAACGACTATGGTGTTGAGTATGTATATATATAATTGGCAGCATCTTCTAGGGAACAAAAGGAGATTTGGCTACTGAATTCAATTGAGGTTGAATCATATTATACTCACAGAAAGTCGACACGCAAACAGTGAAGACAGAGACTAAAATTGGGAATTTGGTGGTTGAAATATAGTATATAAAGTCAACTATTGCGGCTTTGGAAAAGAAAAGAGGCAGCCGATATTATAATTACACACACATGGGAGACAAGAATTGGATTGTTGCTAGCTAGAGAATTTTCTTTGTAATAATTTGGATTGGATTGGATTGGATTGGTGAGTGAAAATCTATATGATTGTAACAATTTTTCATATAGTGAAAAGGTTTGATGGTTCGTTTAATTTGTGCGTTATATTCTTTATTTTTCTTTGTTTGTTAATATTCTTTTGAACAACAAAAAATCCTACGGGTAAATAGAAATAAAGGGAATTGGCTAAAATTTCCTAACACGAAGGCCTTTTTTGGTGGAAGTGATGAGTTGCAGATTTTCACTTCAAAACAAAAAGCCTTCACCCCCAAACAAAGTGGAAAATCTCTATCTGAATACTTTGGTGAGCTCACCTAAGTGTTCTTGGATCGTCATGATAAAGTAGTTATGAAGGATCCCGAAGACATTGCAGCATATCGAAAGTCCACCGAATGACTTATGGTGCATATATTTCTTGCCAAATTTGACGGTGATTTTGAACAAGTTCGTGGACAGTTTCTATGCAAAGAACTAATTACAGATTTACGGGGTATCTTCAACTAAGATTTTGATAGATTTTAAAAGATTATAAATACTAATGAATTTTGTGGATTTGAATAAATTTCCACAAATTCCATAAGAATTTTACTAAATGTGTGAAATTTCAAAAGATTTGATTATATTTATTTTTAAACTTGAAATCCATCCAAGTCACTTAAAATTCTACTATTAATAAAATCTTTATAAACCATTAGTTATTGAGGATATCTAAATTTTAAAGGATTTCATTGAATT